GGCGGGGGCACTCGGCCACCTGCTGACGCTGCAGCACTACCAGTCGTACCAGCAGCAGGGGAAGCAGCAGCAGCAGCAGCCTCCTCTGGATCTGGTTGTGGTGGTGACGACGACCACGACGTCGACGGGGCTTTCGGAGCGCGAGCGGCGGTCGGCGGGGCTGACGCGCACGGCGCACGCTCTGCGTCTGGTGTCCCCTCCCGTGGTGTGGCTGGTGGTGGAGTCCGCCCGGGAGGCGGGTCCCACGGCGCGGCTGCTCCGGCGCACCGGGGTGGTGTACCGGCACCTGACCTACGGGGAGAACTTCACGTCGGAGGCGTGGGAGGAGGAGCGGCACCACCAGAGGAACCAGGCGCTGGCGCACATCGAGCAGCACCGCCTGCGCGGCGTCGTCCTCTTCGCGGGACTCGCCGACGTCTACGACGTCCGCCTGCTGGAACACCTCAGGCGCATCAGGTACGTAGCTAGCTAATTTTTCATGATTAATCCGAGTTGTTTTGGCTTTGCTTTGTTGTTGTTAATTTTGCCCATCATCGACACATATAATTTCTACTGCTCCGACCGATGGATATGGATCTTATTATTACTCACTGGCCGTCCGGTAATCGTATCGTAGTAGTCGAGTGGAAAATTATGGGATCCATCAGTGCAACTGTTTTGTCGGTGGAGCAGTGCTTAGCTTTCGTACACTGGCTCGCTGCTGTGCTGTGCATGCGCATGTCCATGATCCCGGAACGAACGGAGGCAATGGAGTCCAGCCGTCCAGGCCATCCTGGTTGGGTTGGGACCCGGACCCGGACCCGGACCCTAGTCCCTACTACTAGTCGTGTCCATGTAGTCATTCAATGGCAGACCAGACGAGTAGCAGTGCCTGAGTGAGTGGTAAGTAGGGCCATGCATGCAGTGCATAAGTCTGTGTACAGGCACAGCACAGGCATGCATACGCAAGGCCCGTGCTAATGCTATGCTTCCGGTTCCGGGCCGGTCCAGGGCTTGCATTATTGCTGTTGTGCTGGCGATCCACTCTAGCTCTGCTCTGGGGAATGCATGGAAATGGAATGGATCCGGTGCATCAATTTTTTACTGTAACTATTACTCACTTGCATAGTAGTACTACTGTAATGAATCCTTGTGCTGAACTGAAGTGAAAGTGATGTGCATGCACCATGCAGGACTGTGGGTGCGTGGCCAGTAGCGACGGTATGGGAGCAGGAGAAGAGGGTGGCCGTGGAAGGGCCCGTCTGCACCACCGCCGGCACAGGGACAGCCACAGCAGCATGGTTCTCAGTCTCAGCCTCGGAAGAAGCGGCGTCCACGTCACCATCACCGCCTGTGATGACCGACGACTCCGTCCACGGCTTCGCCTTCGCCAGCGACCTCCTCTGGGACCCTGCCAGGTGGGACCGCTTCCCCACCTCCGAGCCCGACCAGTCGCAGGTACTACGTTAGTAGGAGTACTACGTTGCAGATTAATTGCATGCACTACGATTAATGATAATCTCGCGTCCCTCGAATTAAGCCATAATTCTGGCGCGTCGTCCGTGTCCGTCGCCTAGCTGCTGCCTGCTAGTAGAGTGTAGGAGAGCACTGTGTCGTCGTCGGTCGTCGTCCTCTTCCTCCTTCCCCTGTCCCACCATTTCCCATTCCTCTCTCTCTCTCTCTATATATTTAGATTAAAAAAAAAGAAACGGGAGGACGGGTAGGGAAGATCCGTAAGTCATGCATGTGATCATGTCTCTCACCCCCTGTTTTGATCGTGACTTGTTGTTCGCTTCGAGTGGAGAGAAACACTGAGAGATCGAGAGACAGCCTTTCCTCTCTTCTCGGCCGCTAGCACGCACTGGGTGGGACTACACTTAGCCTGATGGTCCCATGCACATTTGTTTTTGGGTCTCTATGAACCCACACACGCAACCAATCCCGTTCCAAACAGCCTTGCACGACGAACATAGCCTCTTCCGATCGCCTTATCCGTCTTAATTTTTAACCTTTTCCAAATCAATATTTTAAAATAATGTGCCCTAACTTTTTTTTGATCTAACACTTTTATTAATCGTTGTGTGGTACGACAAAATAATGCTGACACGCCATATATATTGACGCGACTAATTTGCAACCACGAAAAGTGCCGACGTGGCAGCTCATGTTATGCCAACTGTGTATCAATCCACGTGAATATTTTACGATGCAGCACATAATTATGATTGCATTAATTGTCTATTGTTGATTTTTTCCTCATTCATCCAGGATTCAATCAAGTTTGTGCAAAGGTTGGTGGTGGCAGACTACAACAAAACGAGGCCCATCCCTGAGTACTCCAACTGTTCCCAAATCATGGTCTGGCGTGTCGACACGACGCTGCTCTAGACATGCATGCATCGAGCTAGTATTACAGTAGCTTGTTCAATTCGTCCATGCGTCATGCACATCGATCCCTTAGCCTCTTGCATGCATGCGTGCCAAGCGCTCACATGAAGATGCATAGCTAGTAATATACTCCTACTAGAGGACATTAATGAATTAATTTCCTAGCTTAGCTAGTAGAAGCTCAATGATGCAGAAAGAGAAGCAACAGAGCTGTTCAAATTAAGCAAAATCGTTGCTTTTCTTCCCATGTATTCGTCTAGTACGTGAGGCCGGACCAGTGACCCCCTCCTTATATACATAATATATGTATGTACCCTCCAATATATACATATATATCAAATGAGTTATATGAATGACGTATATGTACGTATATGTAAACTTTTGTTACATCACAACTATTATATTATACCGGCAAATGTGTCTGTGTGTTGCAACGCGAGATAAATAAATCCGCCGTGTTCGGGTGGGGCTGGCTGGCTGAGTTGGCCAGCCCCCTCACATGGACACTATTCCAATGAACCAGCCAGCAGTACTTCTCTCTCACGTAAACGAACCAGCAACGATACGAACAGGCTAATCTTTGTATATCGAAATTGTATTCACAACCACAATTTGTAGAGCTTCTCCTAGTGACGTGTGGTTCTCCTAGTGTTTAGCATTCAACATTTAGTATGAGTTTTTCCCTGCCAAATACCTCCGAGTGAGGATTTCTATGTGATGATTTGTGGTAGTGTTCTTACTACTGCTTAGTACACTAGGAAAACTCTACCATTTTGGTAGTGATTAAAAATAGCACTATGTATTGTCTGTTTTGAATTTTACATTAAAGTAATTAACCTGTTCTTTCCGTAAGAGCGCACTCAGGAAGTCGCCACCCGCTCATGCTCGGTGGCCATGGCATTTTCGGCGGGGGAGAGACGACACATCTCACAGAGACATAACGACCAGCCACGCTACTTGGAGGCACTGCAGGCGGGGCGGGTTCTTAACGTTACCCGCTCGCCCCGCCTCGCAAAATAGCTGTATGCGGCTGTTGCGGATCAGCTGCCAATTGATTGCGGACCACTATCGTTCAGCCCGCTAAGCCCGTCGGACACAAGTGAATTTCCACGCAAATCCGCGAGATCCGCAAAAAGTATTGCCGCCATCAGCCTGTTTCGTTTGGCTGTGACTTGTCGTAAACGATCGTAAAATTTTAGCCGAAATAATATTTTTCTGCCAGCAGTACTTCTTCACGATCCAACGACCGAACCCACCAACCGAACAGGCTCGCGTCGCCCTCTCTCCAATCCCATGGCTACCACCGCCGCGCCCTTGTCGGCATTGCACTCCTCGGCGGCGGAAGCTGGCAGCGAGATGACTTACTCCGCTCCCACCGGCCACCGCCCTCGCCAATATTTCATCGAGGTGGATCCCGATGAACCATCGCGAACATCTTCTTTCCCCATCATATGTGCAGGCGACCAGGTGTGCGATTGAACCAAGCTTTTGTTTTGAGTTGTGGTCGTACTTGCCGCTCGTCTTCTTCAAAGCCGTTTGGATTTCACTGATTGCTGATTGATCACATTTTGAGCTATTCAATCTTTGTTTTGGTTCAGAAACATGGCCTTTTGGCCTTCATGTCGTCATTGCAGTCGTTGGAGGCTTGGAATAGAGTGAAAAAGCAAAGGCACTGGAACTTTCTTACTTTGTGGCCATGCGCGATGTCTCTAAGCAGCAGATGCGCCATATGCTGCTTTCCGGTTCGCAAGATGGGAGCAGGAGTGCGAGCCTCCGAGGAGCGGCACGGGCCGCCGGCATCGACGGGCAGTCGCTATTCCGCGCGGTCCAACAGCAGCAGCACAGATCTTTGCGGGTCATGCGGGGTTGCAGGTATCAGCCACGAAGTCCACGAAACACATATGAGCCGCACAGTTGAAGAAATGAACAGCCGCAAACCCGCTAGATCAATTTGCGGCAAGCGTTGCGGGTTTGTGGCTGTCCACAACCCGCCCTGCTTGCAAGGGTAGGAGGCAGAGCATGCACTCCAGCTCCAGCGAGATGGCGTCGCCGTCGCCGTCGCCGTCGCCGACCCTGCCCCTCCCGCTACGGACGTTTCTGCTCCCTCTCCCTAACCAATTTTGTTTTGTTCTACTCCGGTTTCATCTGTGGTGGCGTCAGGTAGTTTTGTGTTTTTTTATTTATTTTGTCACAATCTTGTTTGTTGTGGTATTGATTTGATCCTCTTCCGTCATAAGGTATTTTGGTTCGCCTTATGGTGTTTGGTCTGTTTCTACTACTCTGAATTTGGCCAATGTATATGCCAAGATACTCAGTGCTATTACCCAGTGGCGGTTCAATGGAATTAACTGTGCCAATAGCAGCCTGGGCAACCCTGAGCATGGAGATGATCAATTTTATCAAAAATGCATGGGATCGTATTGAAGATCAACACGTGCCTATCATTCACCGGAGTCCTACAACTATTTCTAGAATTCCTATATGGGATTAATTTCTCTATGGGGCACGGGTGGTCAAGGTGAGAGGTATTGGCTTTCAGAATGTGCACAAGTGATTAAATTGCTCTATGCTTTGGCACTAGCGATTGAAGCTGGAGTACTAGTGCATAAGAAGATCAAGCCGCATTTCAAGCAATGGGAATATCATATGGACTGAGAGGAGATGTAAGTTGCAATTGGGCTTGGTGTGCATGAGTCTAGTCCAAGACGGCCCGTTTGTATGTTGGTATTACCAAGTTATAAGAGCATGATCAATAATAGAGCTAAGTTTTTGGTTATATAAATCAAGTCATAAGAGCTAAGTTAGACAATAGTTCTTTTATTTGTCTTCAAAATTTCTCTTTCCTATTCCTCCTCACAACGCTTGCTACTTGGGCCCATCATTGCCTATGCTTCCGTGCCCAGCTTGTTGCTTGCATGAGAGCCAAGCTCTCCTCTCTCTCCTCCCTTCTTCCCACCACATCAGCATTTGCTTTTTTCGGTAACGTACTTAGCACGTGTTTCATTAAGAAATAGTTAGAAAATGATTACACGACCAACAGCACTAGATGGCGAGATGCCACCGAGCGTGTGGGTAAACACGAACACACATCACCGTTGAACGGTGGAAATCACAGTCGTACTAACTAAGGAAACTATGTTGCCACGTGGAGCAGTAAAACGCGCACGCGCAGGGCTAATTGGCGCTTTGGGCGACCAGCGACGAGAAGCTTGTGAAGCCGGCAGTGACCCAGGCGTCTGCCTCTTCCACGATGAGATGGAAGAGCTGCAAAGGCGTCTTCGAAACCCTGTCGAACGTCCGACGATTACGCTCCTTCCACAAATCCAAGGTGGAAAGGAGAACTGCAGAGTCGAAGGCACGCTTAACCGCTTTGGGCAGTGTCTTTCGCGCCTGCTGCCACCAATCCTTGAGGTTCGCGTTCTGTTGCGGAGCCAGGGTCTGCAGTGTACTCCAACCGAATGGAGGACTTGATGCCATACTTCATGCGCGAACACACATGAACACAGTAGATGATCCGAGGTCTCATCTTCCTGAGCGCAGGGGGCACACGAAGCATCTTGCTGCAGTCCATGGCGCTTCCGTCTATCGGCCGTCCATGGAGCCTGACCCAGAAGAAGAACTTGACCTTTGGCGGCGCGTGTGTGCGCCATAGGTGCTTGGCCCCAACCAGCGACGTCTTTCCGAAGAAGAATGATCTGTAAGCCGATGAAGCCGAGTATTTCTCATCAGCTGTCCGTTTCCAGACAAATCGGTCTGGTATAGATGGTTGGAGATGGACGTGCTTGAGCTTATTATTGTACCTGCTCTAAGCCAATTGTGAGCGGAGATAAAGGGAGAAGAAGGAACTTAACTTTTGTAATCGTCGATTGATCTAATGAAACCTCTGTTCTTGTAGTTTTCACCCTGTTCTTGCTATTTCTTCCCCAAATTGTCGTCTAGTCGCGTGTGTTCGTACATACTTAAGACAAATTTGGGAACTGATTATTTAGAGACAGAGAGAGTAGATTAGAAGTGATGATATTTCTTAAAAGCATCAAATTTATAATAGCATGATTCTTGATTTTTTTTTCTTTTGACTTTAGGAAAGGAAGTGCCGTTTTGCGAACGAAGAAAAGACAAGGCACAGGGAATGAGCGACTGCGTGAGGCAGCGCTGGTGGAGTGGCTTGCTTGTCTGCTTATATTTATTAACATGACATGGCAGAGTCTTGTTCTATTGAGTAGCTTAGTTTATACTAGTCTATATCATTATTATTTGTTCTTGCTGTAACTATCTTTATATGTCTTAATTCTACAATTGTGTACTCAGCTTGGTTGCTCTTCATCCATTCTGTATGAATTATTACTAATTACAGATCAATGAATACTGAATGAATGCATATAGTCTCTGTTTTCTTGACGACTAACTATGTTGTCTTTGCTATTCTAAAGAAAAGAATAGTTAATCTAGCTAGCAGTCTGCTGATATATGCTTTTATTTAATTTGCTGCTAGTCAATCAATGGCCACAACTGTTATGTTAGTTTTTTTTTTAATTTGCTGCTAGTCAATCAATTGCCACAGCGTGAGTGCATGCTATATATAACCCTTGTGCTGCTGTGAATGAATACAAATACATACAGCTATTAGTCAGCTGCTGCTGTCGCCACGGGGAAGGAGAAGGTTCACATCAACATTGTGGTGATTGGCCATGTGGACTCCGGCAAGTCCACCACCACCGGCCACCTCATCTACAAGCTTGGAGGCATTGACAAGCGTGTCATCGAGAGGTTTGAGAAGGAGGCAGCCGAGATGAACAAGCGGTCGTTCAAGTACGCCTGGGTGCTTGACAAGCTCAAGGCCGAGCGCGAGAGGGGCATCACCATCGACATTGCCCTGTGGAAGTTTGAGACCACCAAGTACTACTGCACCGTGATTGACGCTCCTGGGCACCGTGACTTCATCAAGAACATGATCACCGGCACCTCCCAGGCTGACTGTGCCGTGCTCATCATTGACTCCACCACTGGTGGCTTCGAGGCTGGTATCTCCAAGGACGGCCAGACCCGTGAGCACGCGCTCCTTGCTTTCACTCTTGGGGTGAGGCAGATGATCTGCTGCTGCAACAAGGTATACATATAGTTCAGTTCAGTTCTTCTCTTCCTGGTTATATATGCTCTATAGTAAAGTAATGAACTACTACTTTCTTGTGTATAATAAATCAAATCATGGACGATGGATCAGATGGACGCCAACACCCCCAAGTACTCCAAGGCTCGGTACGACGAGATCGTCAAGGAAGTGGGGTCGTACCTGAAGAAGGTTGGGTACAACCCGGACAAGATCCCCTTCGTGCCCATCTCCGGTTTCGAGGGTGACAACATGATCGAGAGGTCGACGAACCTGGACTGGTACAAGGGCCCCACCCTCCTGGAGGCGCTGGACCAGATCAACGAGCCCAAGCGGCCCTCGGACAAGCCCCTGCAGGACGTGTACAAGATCGGCGGCATCGGCACCGTCCCCGTGGGCCGCGTGGAGACGGGCCTCCTGAAGCCCGGCATGGTGGTCACCTTTGGTCCCACGGGCCTGACGACGGAGGTCAAGTCGGTGGAGATGCACATGCACCACGAGACGATGCAGGAGGCGCTGCCCGGCGACAACGTCGGCTTCAACGTGAAGAACGTGGCGGTCAAGGACCTGAAGCGCGGCTACGTGGCGTCCAACTCCAAGGACGACCCCGCCAAGGAGGCTGCCAGCTTCACGGCGCAGGTGATCATCATGAACCACCCGGGGGCAGATCGGCAACGCCTACGCCCCGGTGCTGGACTGCCACACGTCCCACATCGCCGTCAAGTTCTCGGAGCTGCTCACCAAGATCGACCGGCGGTCGGGCAAGGAGCTGGAGAGCGGGCCCAAGTTCCTCAAGAACGGCGACGCCGGCTTCGTCAAGATGATCCCCACAAAGCCCATGGTGGTGGAGACCTTCTCGGAGTATCCTCCGCTGGGGCGGTTCGCGGTGCGCGACATGAGGCAGACGGTGGCCGTGGGCGTGACAAAGAGCGTGGAGAAGAAGGACCCGACGGGAGCTAAGCTGACCAAGGCGGCTGCAAAGAAGAAATGACGATGATGATGCATGGTCCTCCATCCATTCTGATGCATGCATGCATGGTTGCTGCTTTCTTAGCTGCTGGCTGAATTGGATTATTATTAGGCGATTAGCAATGCTCCATAGGAGTAGTATTTTGTCGGGTGGTGCTAGTTACAACATTCATCGGTTGTGGTGGTGGGTTATGCATGTTAGGCCTTTAATGGTTTGTTGAGTGACAGTGTGTGTCGAGTCGGTTGTGTCCGTGATTGGGTTATCATAATATAATATAAATAATATGCCTATATATATTTGGATTTTGTTATTATGATGATATGTTTCGAGAGTTATATACGACCTCAAGTGTCTCTGACTATGAGGTGTGCCTGCCCTGCCCCTGCCCTGGTGTGCAGATGGCTATATATTGCTTGCATGGCCAGCAGCTAATTAACCTGTTGTGTTGTGTGTGTTGACGTTGGTACTCTGCCATTCTGCTGTTGATGATCGCCGACCAATCTATCTGATTTGTTTGGTACTCTGCCATTCTTCTTCAACGCTTGACTAACCAAGGGCTTGGCACGCCTCCTGCAAACTTAATCACATTCACCCGATTAGTATATTTATTTATTTATTTATTTACTCACGCGTCTCAACAATACCATATGTGCTGTCGCAGCCCTGCTGCTGCTGCCCTCTGCCCTGCTGTATTTGATTGCAACCGGATTTGCTTTACTGCTGGTCCTAACTAAATGAATTCACTCGTTAGACACCCGCAGTGGTTAGAACCGATTACTATCTCTAAGCCAACTTCTTTAATAGTGCTAACTTTTAGCACATAATTTTTAATACGAATAACCTCACTGGACACTCCGTAACCTTCAAATGTAGCTTTTCTCTCTTCTATTAAAATATGAGAAAAAATTGTTAGAGCAGGTTTAAAAGTTAATATTATAGCTGCCCTTATCATGCAAAAAGATGGGTTCCTTTCTTTTTCGTTTTTCTTTTTGGCTGAATCTTGTTTTTCGTTTTATTTTTGGCTGAATCTCCTGCTGCGATCAGGTCAGGTTAGGTTTGGAATGAACACTAGCTGCTGCACTGCATGAACGACCAGGCGTCCTGGCAGCCTGGGGACCCATACCCAAAAAAAAAAAACAATGCTACCCAACCAGGCACAGGATGCTGGTGCCTTCCTTTGGATGGATCATTACTGGTGTACATGTATTATTGTCATGTCACTCTCGTTCGGCTGTCGAAATGCTCTGCATTGAGTCATAGCAAGGCAACGCATCATCCTCTCCCTTTCTTGGCCCTCGCCCTCGCCCTCGCCCTTGGGGCCCTGCTTGCGCTGCCTGCGTTTCCCCTTTTGTTTTATTCGTGCTGTCCTCGTGCAGCTGTCTATGCAACCCCAGGAAAAGGAATGGGCAGATAAACAAATTCTCTTTCAATTCAAAACGAAAAGTGCCAAACAGGGCCACTGCCTTGCGTTTGATTTGAAGAGCCCCTTTTGCCTATATGGACTGCTTTATTTGTACAGACAACCAGTTCCATTAGCTTGTATTACTCGTGCTCTAAACGCTCCACTTTATGTTGCTAACCTTTTTTTCCAGTCTAAATATACTATGTTTTTACTCAGATCTAGTCAAACTTTTAAAACTTAGATCACCGCATAGTAGTAGCTAGGATATTACTCAAAGATGCACAGTCATGGAAGTGGAAACTATTTATGGGCCGGTGAAGTTGACAAGTGGATGGATGAATGTTCCAAAATTGGGTAAAATTAAAACCTGAGTACTGCTGTACTCTCTCGGTCCCAAAATAATTGCACGTTTACGATTTAAGATTTAAAATTTATCCTGTAAATAATCAAATGTCACGAGATTCAACACAGAGGAGAGCAGACTAGTCGGGCTTGTGGAGCAACGTAACACGAAGAACAAAAGAAAATTTAACCCAAAAAAAGAAACCGACGGAAGCCTACATGTGTTTGGTAGGGAGGTAAATGGTGTAGTATCATCATTTTAGGTCCTGATCACTTTGCTGAAAAGTCAGGTTGAAAAGTACTGCTCGCTGATTTTCTGTAACAGGAAAACACAGTTAATTCGCTGAAAAAATACGGCTGATAAGCCAAACGAACAGAGCCTTATCCTTCGTCTTGGTTTCCACGTTAGATCGTAGAATGCTAATTTATTTTAGGACGGAGGGAGCATTTGTTATCGTGCTAGCAAGTCCGTCCTACAGACAATATAGTGTTATTGTAGGCCAGCCAACTCGCTCCTCATCAATAGGTCCCATAATTCGGTCTGTTCGCTGGTTGGTTTCTGGACTAGCTGGTGCTGGTTTGTTATGAGAGAAAAACACTGTTGGCTGGCTGATAAGCCCTAAGCCCTAGTTGAAACCAATAAGCGAACGGTCTGATTGATTATAATGATAACAACCACAAAAAGCAGCAGTGGTTGCAGGCGTTGCTACTGCTAGTAATAACATGGTAATATGTGAGAGGCAGTTGTAGCCGTAGCTACAGCAACAACCACAAAATACTGGCCAAACAGATCGACCATCAATTTTTTTAAATTATATAGGATGACATAAATTGATATTTGAAAGTTTGTAGTCGAAGTTAGAAATCTATAGGACAAAATCCTACAATAAGGACATAGAGCGGCGCTCTGCAGGCCAGGGAGGAGTGCCGTGTGAAAAAGATGATAATAATAATAATAATAATGTATAAATACAAAAAATACGGGGAGAAAGAAGGGGAAAAAAGACAGTTGGGCCGGCATAGGAGCAGTCGTACTCTTGTTGGCTAGCTGCCGACACGGCAACGAACGGCATTGTATACTCAGCGAGACAGTTAAAGCAGCCTCCCCTCCACGCGGCATCCCTTCGCAGTCGCCGCCCCGCCCGTGGACCGTGGTCCTCTATCTAGCAGTCTCTCCTTCCTCGGCCGGCTCCCCAATTCTATTCTTCTTCACCTCCTCCCTTCTCCTCTCTTCCTATTGATTGATTGGTTTGGTTTCCTCTTCGTCTCGCGCCTCCGCAACTGCAGCAGTTGCAACTCCACACAAGGCCACCACCACCACCACCATGGGCACCACGTACAAGTGCTGCCTCATCTTCAAGCGCCGCTTCCACGCCCGCGACGCGCCGCCGCCCGAGGACGTCCGCGCCCTCTTCTCCCTCCACGCCGGCGGGGGCCCCCACATGGGCGCCGACGGCCTGCGACGCTACCTGGACGCCACGGGGGGCCACCACCAGGTGGACGACGCCGAGGTGGAGCGGCTGCTGGAGCAGATCCGCCTGCAGCAGCACCAGGGCCACCGCGCCCGCCTCCCGCGCCTCGCCCGCCCGCTCCTCGCCCTCGACGACTTCCACCGCTACTACCTCTTCTCGCACGACCTCAACCCGCCCCTCCGACACCCTGCGCAGGTGCACCACGACATGACGCAACCGCTCTCCCACTACTTCATCTACACCGGCCACAACTCCTACCTCACCGGCAACCAGCTCAGCAGCGACTGCAGCGACGTCCCCATCATCAAGGCGCTGCAGAGAGGGGTCAGGGTCATCGAGCTCGACATGTGGCCAAATTCAACAAAGGACGGCATCAACATCCTGCACGGCAGGTAAACATAATAATACCTATATATCCGTCGTTTCTTATATCATTATGTATGTATATATATATATATATATAATCTCTTTCTTCTCCTTGAGATGCTTTGGCTGTGAATGACTTATCATTTGGGACCGATGGAGTATATATATAATGTTCCTAAATAAATATAAAAGCCATGGTCCTCCAGCCTCCCCAACAATAGCAGAGGGCCACCTGGTGTGTTTTTTTTTTTGATAAATCGACCATCTGGTGTTAGTGTGGTGGCCACCTCATCGATACTATTACTATACTAGTCACTAGTGTCTCATTCTCGTCTCGTCTCACGTGGCTTTCACCTAAAAATAGATTTCTGATGAATGCAATGCCACAACAATGCAATAGTCAAACAACGATTGCCATATGTATTTACCTTTGGCTGGGAAACTATACCTACTGTGCTGTTTTGCTCTTCAAGTACTGTAACACTCGACAAACACTTATTTTATTCCTCCAATCCAAGCAATCAATCCTTGGAGCATTGCCAGCCAATACGAGTTTAATTTCTAATAAACAGGACACTGACCACCCCAGTTTCGCTCATCAAATGCTTGATATCCATCAAAGAATATGCCTTCGTTGCATCTCCCTATCCTGTCATCATAACGCTTGAAGACCACCTTCCCTCTGAACTCCAGGAAAAAGTTGCCAAGGTATTTATTTAGCCCTGTTTTATTTTCTTCCTCAAATAAAATACATAGCCAATTGTTGCCTCTTCCTCGACTTTGCACTTCTCTTCTAACATAATAACATGTGCATTCCACCGCGTGCTTCCTGAAATCGGTCAATCCGTCAGATGGTTCTTGAAGTATTTGGTGACATACTGTACTACCCGCTGCCTGACTCCAATCACCTCAAAGAATTCCCATCACCTGAACAACTCAAGGGCCGTGTCCTCCTCTCAACAAAGCCCCCCAAGGAGTACCTTGAAGCCAAGGCTGATGACACCATGAAAGAGGGTGATGCTGACCTCCATCTTGGCAAAGGGGCTAATGATGATGCCGCATGGGGAAAAGAAGTACCGGATTTTCAGACTGAGATCCAGTCTGCAAAAAAGGTATAGACCTGCTACATTTCTACTAATCCTTTCCTTCAACCTTTGCAATCAACAATTGTTGTTCCCTCTGCCAGCACGACGATGATGCCCCAGGACACCAAAGAGACGACGATGACGACGACGATGATGATGAGGAAGATCAGCAAATGCAGCCACATATAGCTCCACAGTATAAACACCTTATCACAATCAGGGCAGGGAAGCCAAAAGGCTCTCTAGCTGATGCCTTGAAGAGTGATCCAGAAAAAGTTAGGCGTCTCAGTTTGAGCGAGCAACAACTTGCCAAAGTGGCAGAGGATCACGCCACAGAAATTGTGAGGTACACATATACTGATGGATACTCTTATCAGCACATTCCTCCCTTCAGATTTTAACAGCGGCAGTAGATTAAGATACCATCTTCCTGCATGCACCGAACTGAACCCTGAAATGAAAATAGCGGCCACTGTATCCCCATCTAGTTTGTTTCCCTTGCTGAAGAGCTCAGCTTCTTCTGTTCCAAATAAAATAGGTTCACGCAGAGGAACATACTGAGGATATACCCGAAGGGCACTCGAGTCACTTCATCTAACTACAACCCGTTTATTGGTTGGGTGCATGGTGCTCAAATGGTGGCATTCAATATGCAGGTATGTTTCTGAACTGTTGATCCAAGTTTCGACAGGGTTCTTCATGCCTAATTCGGTTCACTGACCTGCCTGTTTTGAATCTCATGTGCTTACACTTTTATCGTAATGACAATCCTATGTTCTTTTTCAGGGATATGGAAGAGCGCTTTGGCTAATGCATGGATTTTATAAAGCGAACGGTGGGTGCGGTTATGTGAAGAAGCCAGATTTCTTGATGCAGACAGAACCACAAGTCTTTGACCCAAGAGAAACCCAACCTGTGAAGAAAACCTTGAAGGTGAAGGTGTACATGGGCGATGGGTGGCGAATGGACTTCAAGCAGACACACTTCGATCAATATTCTCCTCCAGATTTCTACACACGGGTATGGTATACATAATTAATCCAAACAGCGTAGTGGAGTGCGCATAGCTGGAGTTCCAGCATGCATGAGCTGAGTAAGAAATGTTGGTGTGGTGGTAGGTTGGGATCGCTGGAGTCCCAGCAGACTCGGTGATGAAGAAGACCAAGGCGATCGAGGACAACTGGATGCCGGTGTGGGAGGAGGAGTTCAGCTTCCCGCTGACGGTCCCGGAGATCGCTCTGCTGCGGGTGGAAGTGCACGAGTACGATATGTCGGAGAAGGACGACTTCGGTGGGCAGACGGTGCTGCCGGTGTCGGAGCTGCGGCCGGGGATCCGGGCGGTGGCCCTCTTCGACCGCAAAGGGAACAAGTACAACAACGTGAAGCTTCTCATGCGTTTCGAGTTTGCTTAGCCTGACCGTGAGTGAGACGGCGATTGCATTGATTGATTGGTATATATACTCCATCGCAGGTATCTTGTGTGAACATTGCAGCCTGAGTGTGCTTTGTACATAGATAGATATTGCTTGGATTGGATGATATGTGCAACAGTTGATCAGCAAACAATTCCTTCCGTTTCGTTGCTATGATCAAATAATAATAAGGCAGCGTGCTTATGAATAAAATAAAACCCAGCTGTGTGATTGCCACAAGCGCAAAGATGGATTCTCAATGTAGTACCAACAGTCCTCTTTTAAACATTCACGTTTAAGCATATCGCAATGTACTTGTGTTCTTATATATTTCTTATATAAGCAGCCTATCACCCGACTTCAATCTACGGCCGGATCGACCGGACGATACGCACCGGAGACGCCCGGCCCAATATGACATAATCACATAACAGGCCCAGCAGATGTAGACCACCGTTCATATATATATTTAACTTTTGCTCAAATATATATATATATATATATATATATATATATATATATATATATATATATATGACGAGGCTAAAATGCACCTGGGTGCATTCTGTGCAGCAAATGCACCCGACCGCGAGTGCGAGACGCGCGGAGCGCGGCGAGTGCGAGGTAAGTCCACGCTCCTCCATGCAAAACTAAATGGAGACAACCAATTACGTGATGCCACCTAACATCTCAACCCACTACTCCAGAAAGCATGCATGCAGGGAAATTTTTGTTGATTCCAAACGAAAAAATACGATATCTTCTAAACCACAGATCCGATTTTAGATCTGTTTGGAGTAGGTCGTTGAAAAAAATATGCTTAACACAACGAGATCCATGAAGGCTATATTTGATGAAGTTTTTTTTTTTCAAATATGTAATTGCAATATGTTGTACTATGAGTTCCAAGCACTTCTACAACACAATTGCAACTTGGCTGTATCGTATTTAGCAATGGTTGCAATGAAGGCTATATTTGATGAAGTTTTTTTTTTCAAATACGTAATTGCAATATGTTGTACTATGAGTTGCAAACACATCTACAACACAATTGCAACTTGGCTATAGCGTATTTAGCACTGGTTGCAATGAAGGCTATATTTGATGAAGTTTTTTTTTTCAAATACGTAATTGCAACATGTTGTACTATGAGTTGCAAGCACTTCTACAACACAATTGCAACTTGGTTGTAGCGTATTTAGCACTGGTTGCAATGAAGGCTGTATTTGATGAATTTTTTTTCAAATACGTAATTGCAATATGTTGTACTGTGAGTTGCAAGCACTTCTACAACACAATTGCAACTTGACTGTAGCGTATTTAGCACTGATTGCAACTCAGAATTGCAACTTGGCGTGATTATAGTGACCAGATGCATATAATACACAGAGTTATAACTAGTTGCAACTAGGTGGTAGACAGAGTTGCAATCGGTAGTACACTGACATGCAGCTCGTTTAAAGGATAAAAAATATATCCATATTGGATCTAGTTTTGCTCAGAATATTTTTTTGAGTCGGATGCAACAAACGGTTTGTCAATCGGGGTTACGGTTTAGGAGAAAATTTGTTTCAAAGATTCGAACCAACAAAAACTTCCATGCATGCATGTATTCGCTTGGGCGCGCTGCTTGCTCCAAGTTGGTGCGCCCGTCGGCCTGGGTGCATTATATATATATATATATATATATATATATATATATATATATATATATATATATATATATATATATATATGTGTGTGTGTGTGTGTGTGTGTAAGGCTATTCTACAGCTGGCCACAGAATAACTTATTCTATGTCCACCTTGATTTACGATAATGTTTGTACCAATTTACGATAATGATAATACACATTTACACATTTACGATACATGGGTTACTATAATTTAAGATGATACTTACCATAATGCTATAGTAAATCACTTACGAGGGAGTTACCATAATCTCGTAAATTAGTATAGTAATTATCGTAATTCGAAGTGGCCACGGAATAACTTATTCTGCGGCCAGCTACAAAACAGTACCTATATATATATATGGATACTATATTCAGTAGCCAGCTCCAAAATAAGTTATTCTGTAGTCACCTCCATTTCCGATAATTTTATATACTAATTTACGATAATGTCAATACATATTTACGAAAGTTTGGTTACTATAACACATGAGGATATTTACCATAACATTATAGTAAACCACTTAGCAAGGAGTTACTATAATCTCGTAAATTAACATAGTAATTATCGTAACTCAAAGTGGCTACAGAATAAGTTATTTTATAGCCAGCTACAAGGTAGTAGTTATATATATATTCAGTAGCCAGCTACAGGGAGAGTATATTCAGTAGCCAGCTACAAAATAATTTATTCTGTAGCCACCTCCATTTACGATAATTTTATATACTAATTTACGATAATGTCAATACATATTTACGATAGATGGGTTACTATAACACATAAAGTTATTTACCATAATATTATAGTAAACCACTTAGCAAGGAGTTACTATAATCTCGTAAATTAACATAATAATTATCGTAACTTAAAGTGGCTACAGAATAAATTATTTTATAGCCAGCTACATAGTAGCGTGTATATATATATATATATGACAACCATATGGTACCCGGCAATTAATAGTTATTCAGTACCCCGCAACAACTGCACCAGGCCTTCCGCAGTCCGCACCCACCCGCCCTCCCGCACCAGGCCGACTTCAATCTACGGCCGGATCGACCGGACGATACGCACCGGAGACGCCCGGCCCAATATGACATAATCACATAACAGGCCCAGCAGATGTAGACCACCGTTCATATATATATTTAACTTACACACACACACACACACACACACACACACACACACACACACACACACAAGAAAACGAGCTGGTAATTATAGAAATTCCCTGATTTAATGATATTATTACACCAGAGGGGCATTAATCCTCGCTATTGATCTGCCAATAGTACTACGAACAACCAAATTTTCTGCATGTGACGAAATCACTGGTGCCAATGCTAGTGGTTTTCACACAAGCCCTTTTCCTATTTAAGGATGATACATAATGTTAACCTCTTTACTTTACAATAGTCGCTGTGCACAATCGAAAATTAGAAGTACCCATCAACTAAATAACTTAGATCTTGTCAGATTGACTATGGGCTCGCCATCATCCTCTCATTTAGGCCTCCACATGCAGCAGCCGAGCAGCTGACACCCGTCCAGTGAGATGCATCAGACAGAAAACACATCTTGGATCCTCAGAGACAGATGGTACACAACCTGCAAGCATTAGCCCATTTCTTCAATCACCAGCATCACTCCAGAGAAGAGAATGACAGATGGTACACAACCTGCATTCCTGCAAAGCATTAGCCCATTTCTTCAATCACCGGCATCACTCCAGAGATGAGAATGAGAGGGTACAAGACGATAGATTTACCAAGACTTGCCTCCACTTCACGAAAGATGCTAGCTAGCAGCAGAAGATTCCTTAGTTACTTCTGTAGCCGTATCCGCAGCAGAGCTACTGGTTTCCGCAGCCTGGTTTTGGCTGCTCTGTGCTTGTGTTGCTGCTGGTTGCTGTGGTTGATCTTCAGCAAGGCCCAGGACCACCAAGGTTGACCTGCCAAAAATCGGAATCTCATCACAAATCCAGCACTTCATATTGGATCGATACCACTTGCAACAGATTAGAGTGAACAAAGAGCACCTTGGAAGAGTTGATCGAATATTTGGCTGCTCGGCATGCTCAGCCAAGGGTGCCTTCAGTGTCAGATTCTTACTCAAGGCATTCTCAAGTTGAGGAGCTGGTAACTGAAAAAAAAAACATATGCTATGTCATGGCAAACCTTTGCAAGATGATTATAAAAAAACATATATGGAAATTAGCATACACAGTGTAAAATAACTCGATGAGGATCAAGCATAATGAACAAGAACAAATAGATTACATAAGAGACGCAGAAGCGTGCCAACCTGCAGTAACACACCATATGACTGAGGTTTTGTCAAGATAGCACACTTCAGGAATCCTACCCATAACTTGGGATATTTCCAAATCTGCCATGGCAAGTGACACAGTCCAGTTTCAGAAATATGTAAAAAAGAACAGTGGCTAATATCTTCTTCAATTAAAAAGGAAAAACAATCAAGGACCTGCTTGCTCACAAGGCGTGACATGATCTCCATCACAAAATCCACCTGCGTGAAAGGCTTGCCATCAGATTATAAAGTCACTTGCATCAAATCAAATCTACTAAAAATGAGAAATGATGCCTCCAAGACACTGATATATTAACAGCTTTTCATGATTGTAAACCACGAACACTGGATTTCCACAGGTTCAATCAATGAATCCTTGCTTGTCTCAACCATGGATCCTTGCTTGTCTCAACAATTCATGCCTTTTGAGAGGAGGCACTACACAACTATGCTAACAGGTTTAAACATGGGTGCATATTTCTTGGTTACTTTTTCCAGTAGAAGATGGTGCCTTCACCAAAACCGGGGCAAGAGATCATAACATCAATGAACAATTCTTGCTTCTCGAGCATCATGTGACTGTCATGCTAGGGCCAGCTCCTGGCGCACTAGGTTTAAATTTAATTATTTAGAGATAAGATTAGATTGAGTTGGTTCCTTGATTCTAGAGATTGGTTTCTTTTATGAGTCTAGTCCCCTATCTATAAAAGAATGGGATTATATCTCTTTTGGTTAAGCAAGAAATAGATCATGAGTTACTATCTTCCTTCTTATCCCTGGCCTTGTGGTGAGACCACCGCCCATCTAAAGTATGCCCATGACTGTTACTAACAAGAAACCATCAACATATGCATTCCAATGGAATGAGGTGCATGAACCAAAAAGGAGAACAAGGGAGTGTAGTGTACCCTACAATGCTTTACGGTAGGTAGATCAAGTGGCAGCATACTTTTCAATTAAAAATCAAGGAATGCTACGACCATGTCGTCCTGGTCAATGGTCATATCTGCA